TGATTAGAAATTTAGCTTCTGCACATGCACAAAGTAAATCCAACTATGGGAAACGGTTTCTGGAACCAAAGTTTGGGACTTAGTGAACTCATGTAACAATGACTTCAATAACTGAAAGAAAAAAAAGTCGCCAGGCTCTGCGCTAACAGCATGGGCCTGGAGCCTGCTTCTGAGTCTGTCTCCTTCTCTCTCTGCCCCTCTCCCACTCATGCGCGTGTGCTCTCTCTCTCTAATGTAAACAATAAACATTAAAACAACAAATAAAAGGAACTGTGCTAACAGAAAATCATCAGATTAGCAGAAAAGTGACATGATGATAATGGCAAAGTTACGTGGTCCAAGCTTTTATTTGTGTCAAAAAAAAAAAAAACAAAAAAAAACCTGAAGCTTTGCATCTTAAAGTCATAGCTTCTCGGTGAATTGTATTGTTTTGTGGAAGGCTTGACTCTGAAAATAAACAAGTTTATTCACTGTCAGATGAAGTTGGTTTTCAGACAAACTAGTGATTGTGGTATGTTATCTTGACTGGAAAAACCTCATTTCTTCACTCATCTTTGGAGGTGGTTCCTCATTGGTCTGTGATTCCAATGGATGAACAACAGTTAAGGATCAAAATTTATTTGGATGCGTGAGTCAGAAACATTGAATCTGGGTAAGGTAGGAGAGCCACAGACACCCTCATACGTAAATGTATAAATACTGCAGTGGAATTATTCATCCCCAAATGGTACATTGTTACATGCCTCCCATGAAAACAATCAGTAAAATATTTAGCCAAGAATGTACCCACTTTTATTTCTGAATAGCTTGTTATGATAATCTGTAAATGAATAGTTGCTGAGAATTGTGTAGAACACAGTACAAAGGTTCTTCAAGCACTTACAGGAAGTTTACATGGTTACTTTCCTGTCCCCAAGAAGTCTACAAGTATAGTAGGAGAAATAGGAATCTGAGACACTCCGATGGTTGTGTTATTATTTAGCTAGCATTTATTGAGTGTCTACAATGTACCAGATACCATTCTAAGCACTAAGGATACTGTAATGAACAAAGTAGACAAAAATTCCTGCACTTATGGAGTTTACATTCTAGTGGGTAAGGGGTGGAGAGTCAGAAAATAAATAAGCTAAATAAGTGGGTCAGATAAGTAAAACTATAGGATTTTTTTAGACCACTGATGGAAATACAGTGTAAACCACATATGTAATTGTCAATTTTCCATTAGCCATATTTAAAAAGAAGCAGGTGAAATTAAATTTCAATAAATTTTTTATTTTGGAAAAAATTTTGGTTTACAAAGGTTGCACGTGTAATCCAGAAAGTTGGTGTATAGGTTTCACTCAATTTCCCTATTGTTAATATTTTATATTACTGTGGTATATTTCTTGAAATTAAGACACCAACACAGATACATTACTATTAACTAAATCACAGTTATTATTTGGATTTCATCAGTTTGTCCATTAATGTCCACTTTCTGTTCCAGGATCCAATCCATGCTACCATATTGCATTTAGTTGTCATGTCAATCTCCTCTAGTCTGTTACAAGGGATACTAATTTTCATAATATATTTTATTTAATACAATATATCAAAAATATCACTTCAGACAGTGATCAATATCTTTTACATTATCCACAATACGTTTTACATTATTTTTTCATAATAAGTCTTCAGAACCCAGTGTGTATTTACACTTACGACATATAAGCACTTTCGTTGAAAGTACTTAATCTGCATTTAGATCTCACAAGATTTACAGGTGAACAAGTAGATTCACATACTCAGGTTCTAAACATACTTAAAAGTCTTCTAATAATTGCACTGAATATCAGTTTCTAAACTTAAATTAATTAGTTTCATTAATTAAAAAATTCAGTTCCTCAGCTGCACTAGCCACATTTCAAGTGTTCAATAGCCATATATATGTAGCTAACAGCTATCATATTGAATAGTGCAGCTCTAGACCACTGTAAGGATCTTTGGCTTTTATTCTGAGTGAGACAGAGAGCTCTGAAGGGTTTTGAACAAAGGAGTGATATGATGTAATTTAAGAATATTTTGCTGTGCTGGAAAATAAATTGAAGTGAGGCAAAGGCAGAAGCAAGGAGATCAGCAGGGAAGATATTGCACAAATCCAGGTGAGTGATGGACTAGGGTGGTAGCAGTAAAGGTGGGGAGAAGTGGTAGGATTCCAGGAGTACTTTGTTGGACCTAACACAATATGCTCTTAGATTGGATATGGGGTCATGGATGACGCCAATGATTTTGGCCTAAAAATTAGGACAATGAGATTGTCTTTTACAGAGATTTTGTAAGCAGCAGGTTTGGGGGGTAAAGGAGAAGACCGGGGGCTCAGTTTTGCAATTTTGAGTCTTAGGTGGCTGTGAGACATTTAAGTGGAGATGTTAAGTAGGCAATGAACATAGGAGTCTGGAGTTCAGGGAACACAGTTCAGCTGGACATATACATTTAGCATATAGCTGATATTTAAAAATTAAGACTAGAGATCACGAAAGGAATAAGTGTACAGAAAGAAGTATTAGGGTGAGGTTATTCAGCAGCTGTATTTTTAGGAAAATGCAAGTTTTGAAATCAGGCCCTAAGAGATCAACAAGAATTGGTGGAATAATCAATTCCTTGCAATTAAAAAATTCCTTGCAATGATGCAAAGGTAACGATTAGCCAACCATGCTACAACAGATGATTTTGCTCAGCTGAAGCAAAATCACACAGCCAGTAGATATGGAAAGATGCATTAAACAAGGAAAGGCTTTCTTGCTGGCTAAGTGATTAGCAGACCCGCGAATGTGAGGATTCTAAGGACAGCTTTGGAGTTACGTGACAGCTGTAGTTTCTACACACACACAAAATCAACCAGCCTGTTCGACCATACAGCATATGTCCTAATGCTGGTACAACAAAGACACCTCTCCCATTGGCAGAGAAAAGTGTTATCTTGGATCACAACCCCACTTCAGCACAGAGGCCTAGCACGGGTAGATTACTAGGGAGGTGCCCGTTCCCTGAAGGCACCTGAACTCTTAAATGGGACAAATTCGGAGGCAGGGGGCTGATCGGGCAAATTCAGACGCAGCAATCCCGTCAGCTGGTGAATTCTGTGCGGAATTCTGACAAAGAGGAAGGCCTTGGCTTAAAGAGGAAGTGCGGAGTTACTTATTTTAGGATAGTGGAAAAGCGTTTAGTTGAAGCTCAAGGACAATAAGCAGTGAGATTCTCGAGCTGGCCGCAGGGCTGAAAGTAGCTCTCCGAACGACCCTTTCTTGCCATCTTCTCCCTAAGCCGGGCAGTGAGGCGCGTGAAGGACACAATCGCGTGGCAGTGCGACGGAAAGGGGCGGAATGGGGCGGAATGGACCGATTCACAGGGCATCTTTTAGATCGCAAGCAACGTCCCCGTCGCTATTTTCCTCTCATCAGGTAGCTCCGCCCAGAGGTGGTTCGCTCCCCGGCAAACATTTGGCCTGGTTAAACAGGGAAGTGCAAGAAAGCCAGCTCAAAAACACCTCCCAAACGTGCATGGAAATCGAGCACCTCGCTACCGCAGGCGCCCCGCCCAGGGTTAGCGTGTGAGACACTCCCAAGACGCACTCCTCGGATCACTGGGGGCGGGGCATTGCCTACGCACGCGAGCCAATCAGAGAAGACGTTTTCACGTGACGAGAACTGAGCAATAAGCAGACGCGAAGATAGCGGCGGGGAAATTCAAACGTGTTCGCGGAGAGGGATTTGGGTTCCATCTTTTCTTCCCTTCTCCGCTTTCTGGCGGTGAGTTCTTCCTTGGGGGCACACCGAGGAACGGCAGCGGCCCGTGTGTAGGCTGTTTAGCCGCGAGGGTCGGTGAGTGGTGAGGGCGAGGCAGGGAGGACTCAGAGCCTGGTAGGAGACGTGGGGCGCGGCTAAACGAACTGGAGGGGGAGGGGAGGTCTCGCTGCTTCCGCCAATCCAGTGGGTGGTGAGGGAGGTTTTGTTGACCCTGGAAGCCGGAGGTGGGTGTGTGCATCGGGTGTGGCACCTGGGGAGAGTTTGGGGGACAGGAAATCCTCTCCCAAAAGGCACGCCCTCTCGTCTGGTTTTTTAGAAGAGAGCGAGGAGATGGTGGCCCCTTTCTGACAGTTACCTTTCGAACCTGACTTCAAATAGTGGTATCTAGCTGCCTACTTTATCACCCCTTTTCATTGTCAAACTCGAGGTCAGGAGCGGCATTGATATCAGTTACCCTGGGTTACTAGGTATTAACCTTGAGAATCACAAACCTGAGATTGATAGGAAGAACGACTGCAGACACTTTGCACCATCACCACCATGCAGATGAGCAAGTGCTCAGTAGTGTAAGAATACAGTAGATTCTTGGTTTTAGAACGATTGAGATAGCAAAGCATAATTATGCCAGACATGCATAAGAACAAGCCTGCTGATATCCCATTTATCAGTAAAGGGTTATGATGTTGTACATGTTCTGCTTTGGAAGCACTTTCAGTGTGCAGGTTTACTGGCACACAGAGAGTGAATAAAAGAATGGTTATTTTCATTACCAAAAATATTATGTCTATATGTCATTACCAGAATCCAAGCAAGCATTCCCTCACATTAAAAACATAATAATAAGTGAATTTGCAGATGGCCCAGAGAAAATAATTCTGGAAAAAGAGTGAAAGGAAATTGTGGAAGAAAAATGGAAAGTTTGAAAGCAAGGAAGGGTAGCAACGTCTGTGTTGTGCAATGACTTCGTTGAAGTTCTTTTGGGAAGAAAAGGTATATGTGGCCTATTGGAAACCTTGCTGGACAAATTACAAGGATGTGCTGTTGTTTTTATCCACATAGCTTCACAAATACTCTAATTAATCTGTTTAGATGTGTTCGTATAACTAATGCTATAGTCTTCTGGGTAAAAAAAAAGGCTAGTTGAGACATCTTTTTTTTCTTTAATGCTAGTGAAAAGGAATGATATGACCAGTTTACTTTTTTTATGCCTTAGAAATGGAGGCCGAGGATTTAAGTGGCAGAGAATTGACAATTGATTCTATAATGAACAAAGTGAGGGATATTAAAAATAAATTTAAAAATGAAGACCTTACTGATGAGCTAAGCTTGAATAAAGTCTCTGCCGATACTACAGGTGAGTTCCTTTTCTTTGAGTGCCCTCTAATGTAAAGGAATGAAGTGTTAACCTTGTGTATTCACAATTGTAATTTCCTCAGTAATTGTTCTTTACCAGTTAGACTACAGACACTTTATAATTTAACCCTGCTGTTTGGAAACGTTCCCACAATTTTCTGCTTTCTTAAATATGGAAACAATATAATTTATTACAGTGTGCTCTTAACTCTTCCATTATTGTCAGCCGTTATTTCTGCTGATACACATGCCAGCAGTAGATATGCCATTTTTTTCATTCCTTTTTTTCTGTAAACTGAGAAGATCTCACCAATTGCAATGAAATTGTGTATAAACTTAAAGTCAAACACTCAATTTTTGATAGGGGAGAATCTTCCTATTACTACCCCTTTTCTCCTTTTCTTCCTTGTTCACTCTGTTCCAGCCACAATGGCTTCCTTGCTGTCTCTACTATATACTAGACCAGCTCCTACCCCAATGCCTTTGTTCTTGCTCTCTGCCTTAAACGCCACTCCCCAGATAACTGTCTACCTTTTCCTTTTCCAGGTCTGTTCAAAGGTCCTCTCATTGATGCCTTTCCTCACCCACCTATTTAAAATAGCAACCTGCTGGTGTGGGCATGTGACACCTCTCTTCCTTCTCTGTATTATATTTCTCCATAGCACTAATCATCTTGTATCTAATTTACTCATGAATTTGTTTATTGTCTGTCTCTTCCACTAGAATGTGAGCTCCATGAGGGCATGATTTTTATCTGTTTTGTTAATATCTATAGAGCTTGGAATGCTGTCTGACATGCAATATGTACTTAAATATTTATTGGATGATTAATGAGTAGAATGTGCCCAAAGTTTAATACCCTAGCTTTATGAAAAGTTAGCTTACAAGCCTAACTCTTTCTATATTACACACTGTTGAGGTTGTTTGAAAAGTGACCTTTGGATAAGTTTGTTATATGTATACTGACCATTAAATGAGTGAAGGATTGAAAATAAATGGAAGAACCTGAAGTCTAGTCAAGATGGCAGATCATATTCACTTGAAACAACCTAGAAACTGATCATTTTGGTGTTAAACAAAATCTTAGGAGAGTATCACCATACTTTATTAAATGTATTTAAATAATGTTAACAAAGCTTGAACACCAAGATGAGTCTTTATTTAAAATCCTTCGGTCATGGGGCGCCTGGATGCCTCAGTCAGTTAAGCATCAGACTTCAGCTCAGGTCATGATCTTGCGGATTGTGACTTTGAGCCCCACGTTGGGCTCTGTGCTGACAGCTCAGAGCCTGGAGCCTGCTTTGGATTCTGTGTCTCCCTCCTCTGTCTGCCTCTCCCCAGCTTGTGCTCTGTCTCTCTCTCAAAAATAAATAAACATGAAAAAAAATTTTTTTTTTTAATATCCTTAGCTCACTTACACATGTAAATACTTTTTTTTTTTTTTAAGTTTATTTAACACTGTCAGCACAGAACCCAACATGGGGCTTGATCTCATGAACTGTGAGATCATGACCTGAGCTGAAATCAACAGTTGGTGGTTTAACTAAATGAGCCACTGAGTCAGGGGCTCCAAGACTTTTTTTTTTAAAGTTCATTTATCTTGAGAAAGAGTGTGCGTGCATGTGAGCTGGGAAAGAGCAAGGTGAGAGGGAGAATTAGAATCCCAGACAGGCTCCATGCTGTCAGTGCAGAGCCCAACTCGGAGCTCGATCCCACAAACAGATTATGACCTGAGCCGAGATCAAGAGTTGGATGCGCAACGGACTGAGCCACCCAGGTGATCTCCAGACTTGTAAATACTTAACATATATGGGTAACTGGGACATAAGACAGTATCATAAGTATCAAAGATGCTTAAAACCATGATTTATAGATGGGAAGAGTATGCATCCACTACACGGCATTGTAAAATATGTTTGTCATCAAGTGAACACTAACAATATAAAGATACAATTTAAGTTCTGAATAGAAGGAGAATGGTACTCAGAGGCATGGGGAATACATTTACAAACACAGTGGTTTTTAGACATCTTGTAGACTAATTTGCTAGGACAACAATGGAAGGGAAGTAAAAAATGGAAAGTGAAATTAATATCAGTCCAAAGTAAATTAAAAAAAAATTTTTTTTAATGTTTATTTTTGAGAGAGAGAGAGCGAGCATGGCAGGGGCGGAGAGAGAGAGGGAGACAAAGAATCTGAAGCAGGCTCCAAGCTCTGAGCTGTCAGCACAGAGTGTGATGCAGGGCTCGAACTCACAAAGTATGAGATCATGACCTAAGCCGAAGTTGGACGCTTAACTGACTGAGCCACCCAGGTTCCCTAGTCCAGAATAAATTTAAAATAAAAAAGCAGAGTTAAAGTTATGTTTTAGTAAAACAGAAACTGTAATTTTGTTTATAAAAGCATAGATTTGGCTCTTATTGAAGGTAACCAAAACTTACAGAAAGAATGATAGTTTCTCTGGGAAATCTGTGTTTAATAATATTTAGTAATGACTAAAATATCCTGAACAGGAGACTGACATTAATTCAATTTGTCTTTTTAAAACAATTAACAGTAAAGAAAGTAAGAAAATAAATTACAATCTTTATGGAGAAATATGGGTAACTTGGAGGGAGAAGAAAATAACCATACCAGTTACTTATCTTTTATAAATTGATTTTGTTTAATTGGATTAAAGGTAAGTTTGAAGTCTATGGAGATAATGTTGGATGGATGAAGTTGTAAAGATTATGTTAGGAGGAATAAGGTGATACGTTTAAAAATTTTTAACGAATAAGTCATTGATGAATTTTCTGACAAAGTTGTTATAGGTGATAGTGGGGGAGGTTTAGGTTTCCTTTGGGTAGTTAGGGGGATGAAATAGAATTATGCTGCTACAAGACAAAATTTTTTTAGACTACATAGGGTTTTTTTTTTTT